CCTGACAGGATCACAAATGGAGCCATTTATCTCCCTGATGTCATAGCACTTCCCAATGCCATTGTAGCAGCATTTCCCACAGTTACTTAAGTTATTGTTCATGAGTTTCAGTCGGCAGGGACTTCTAGTTTACAGCTGAAGTCTTTCTCAACTAGGGTTCCTCACTCAAACCAGAACACAAATTTTCAAGTGACTTTTTTTCAGTTCTCCTAAGGACAGTACGTGACAAATGTTAGCCCAAACACATAGGAGAGAAGTTAATTTATCATCAGAATGGGTGTCTTGGGGTATGTGGGCTAACTTACCTTACAGAACACTGAGTGGGAAAGACAGGAAGTGAGGTAGAAGTTTAATCAATCAGCAATTGATCTGAAAAGCTCATCTGGTCCTGTTTGGTGTTTTATACAATTCTGAGGTCCAAGAAAGTGAAGCAACTCATCAAGTGAGGGGTATGCTTGCTGTACCACTGTCAGAGACTACGGGTTCAGTAGCCCATTATTAAGAAAATAAAGCTGGGCATGGTGGTACACACCTATAATCCCAGCTACTTGGGAAGCTGAGGCAAGAGGATTACTTGAGCCCAGAAGTTTGAGACCAGCCTAGGCAACACAGCAAGACCCTGTCTCAAAAAAAAAAAAAAGAAAGAAAAGATGACCCCAGAAGACATGGGTCTATTTTAGGAACAACTCCATCATAACCAGTAACTAAATGGAAATATGTGGTAAATAAAGGGGTGAATTTTGTTTTCCTGGAAATTCCACTTACACAGGAAACTTGACTACTTGATGATGAGTAAATAAATTAGCTGCTATTAGATCTACTCTTGGGGAAGCAGTAGCATTCAACCGCCTGTTGGCAGTGGAGAGTCTTCTCAGAATCTTCAGATGCTAGGCAGGTAATGCCTGTTCACAAGTGCAGACTTTGAATGAGGTGGTGGGGGACCTGAGGTATACTGGGGTGCACTAAGGCTTTCTGAAAGGAGCAGGTGCCACTCAGACCCCTCTCTTACTGCTGTGAGTGCAAGCTCAGCATTATCAGATCTTGTTTTTAGTATCATTTCATCCCAGAAATCCTATGAGGCATCTGACAAACAAGGAAACTGAAATATGGAGAGGATAAAGTAATGATAGCACTGGGATCTGAATTGAGCTCTGACTTGAGAGCCTAACCTCTTAGTCATTTTTTAATACTGTCCAACAGAAAATATAAATTCCAGAAAGTCCAGGGGTTACCTTTGAATGGTATGATTTTTACTTTTGTTCTCCCAAATTTTCTTAATGCGCAGTCCTTGTGTTATTACAAAAAAAAAAATCCAGTGTGACTCTGTGTGTGTGAGAGACACTATCTCACTCTGCCACCCAGGTTGGAGTGCAGTGGTACAATCTCCGCTCACTACAACTTCTGCTTCCCACGAAGCAGAGAATTGTTCAAGTGATTCTCGTGGCCTCAGCGTCCCCAGTAACAGGGATTATAGGTACGCACCACCACGCCTGGCTAACTTTTCTATTTTTAGTAGACAGGGTTTCACCATATTGGATGGTCTCAAACTCCTGATCTCAGGTGATCCACCTGCCTTGGCCTCCCAAAGTGCTTGGATTACATGCGGGAACCACCGCACCTGGCCTTTTTTTTTTTAAAAACAAGAAATTTAATGTCTGAAAAGATCATACTTGTTCAAGGCCACAGTTAAGAACATGCCAGATCCTATAATAGATTTCTAGTATTCGTACCATGAATAAATATTTGTTTAGCTTTGGGCTGGGTGCCACACACACACACACACACACACAAAACTAGTCCTTTTCTAAAAGAATCTTATTTTGACAACTTTGTTCTTAGGTGCAGCCTTAGCCCAGATGTTCCTGTCACATCTTTGTCCCTCTATGACATGACTCAAACGCCATTAGGCTCTGCCTCAGTTTGTGCCCACTCAAAGCAGGAGCATGGCTACTACTGATTACCATATCAGTAATTTAACAGACTGCTTATTTTTTAGTCCAAGTATCTGGAAGCAAGCTTTACACTTTGTACCTTGAAACAATAGTGAAGCCTCATGCATATGTTCAAGCTCCCGTGTTTTTTACTGGTTTACCATCTGAAGGCTTTAGTAAGTCACTAGGATCCATAGAACACTGGGAGATTCTTGAGCTGTTTGTGGCACATCTTGCTCAAGGGCAGGCATTTTTTACATCCACCAAAGTGGCTGTGGTGGAAAAAGCATTCATCTTAGGGGTACCAGATTGGCTTCAGATCCGTTTTCTCACTTAGGAGCCAGTATCCTGTAAGTCACTCACTCTTGAGGCAAGTTTGCTGCCCCATCTCTGCTTAGGTTTCTAGCTTCATCATCTTCCCCTGGAGACCACACCCCAGCCTGCTAAACTCCCTGCCCCTCTCTGAATCTCTGGGCTCTCCTGCTTTGGGATTCATGCTGGTATACATGTCAGGAAGTCTATTTCTCATCCCTTCATCCCCCAATCCAGCTATTTCTTGCCCATCTTTGAGCAGTGACATCAGCTATTGAGGATGTGCTACTCACCCAGGCTGAACTAGGTACCCTTTCTGTCCTTTGGCAGGCTGTGCTAACCTGTTAGATTTAAGAAATCCTTTGTTGGGGAGACAGGGTTTCACTCTTATTATTGCCCAGGCTGGAGTGCAGTGGCTCGATCTCGGCTCACCACAATCTCTGCCTCCCAGGTTCAAGCGATTCTTCTGGTTCAGCCTCCCAAGTAGTTGGGACTACAGGCATGCACCACCACACCTGGCTAATTTTGTATTTTTAGTAGAGACAGGGTTTTTCTCCATGTTGGTCAGGCTGGTCTTGAATTCCTAACCTCAGGTGACCCGCCCACTTTGGCCTCTATTAGATTTAAAATATTGTTTTGTAATTGCCTTTACCTGTCCCCACCAAAAGGCAGTTGCCCATATAATCATCCAAACTACTTGTTAAATCAATCCAGAGAAGTAACTAGCACTTACTTCACAGGGTTGTTGGGGCAATCTATAAACTGTAGGCTGCTGTTTGGTCTACTGTTGATCCGTTTCTCTATCTTTGAACAGTGCCTATTAACAAGAATATATTGCTTCCTTGTTCTCTCCTTTTTGCCCCTCTCCATCATCCCCTAAAAGCCCCATTCTCTGAGAGGGTAACCTTGAGCTTCTGGGTTTTGTAGATGTCTATACCTGAGATCCGACAATGTAGTAGAAGGCAACTGTGCTGATGAATTACTACAAAACTCCCATCGTGTCGTGGAGGAGTACTTTGTGGCCCCTCCAGGTATGTGCTGCCCAGGGTGGTTTAACAAGCAGTCTCACAGTGACCTTAGGAATGAAGCAGGAAGCTGGGCGTGGTGGCTTACACCTGTAATCCTAGCACTTTGGGAGACTGAGGTGGGTGGATCACCTGAGGTCAGGAGTTCAAGACCAGCCTGGCCATCATGGTGAAATCCCATCTTTTAAAAATTAAAATTAAAATTAAAAAAAAAAAAAAGGAATGAAGCAGGAACTGTGAGGACCGAAGATGCTAGGTGAAGGCACTTTGAAAAGGATGAAGTACATACAGATGGTGGCATCTAAGGTGGCAAGCAGAGTCCAGGCCAGGGTCATACTCACCTCTAGGAGGCAGTTAGTAACAGGAACGAGCAAAAGAGGATGTGGGAGGTGGGGTGGGGTTTAGAGTAGGTGGAAATCTGGAGCTCAAGATCTCCCTAAAGGGGCAGCTACATTCACTGTTTCTCAAAGCCACAGTTAAGACCATGCCAGATCCTGTAATCGACTCCAACTTTCTAGTATTCATACCATGAATTAATATTTGTTATGTCTAGCTTTGGTCTGGGTGCCACACAAAAAAAAACCAGTCCTTTCCTAAAGGAATCTTATTGTGACAACTTAGTTATCATGTGCAGCCTTAGCACAGATGTTGTCACATCTTTGCCCTTTTGACATCACTCAAAGGTCATGTGGGTCTGCCCTCAGTCTGTGCCCATTCAAAGCAGGAGGAGCGTGACTGCTACCATTTCAGTGGTGCCAGGCAGGAATGTAAGCCATTTCTCCAGAGAACCTGGATACCTGGCATTTTGTGTGGTATTTCTTAAATTTTAAGTGCTGACAACCAATTCAAAATTAAAAAAATAAATACTATCCAGCCAAATAAAACATACCTGCAAGACAGGTACATTCTGTGAGCCACCAGTTTGCAACTGCTGGTGTAGAGATTTGCATCATCTACCTCACTGTCAATATTTTAAATAGAAGCTTTAAATTACTCTGGGCTGAGAGTAAAATCCAGAACCTTGGACAGGTTGACTGTTTTTATTTCCTCTATGGGTACGTGAGTATCAGAGCTGTTGTACTACCCCTCTGGGCATCTGGGAGTGGAACTAACCAAAAGCAGTCACGTAGACTGCTAAGTGCCAACTACACTTCAGGACATCCCTGGGGGAGAATCATTCTGAGCAGACTCCACAGAAGACATTGGCCTTGGTCAGCTCAAGGTGCCAGTTAAAAGCAGGCTTGGTTAAAGCAAGGATGGGAAAGAAACCTAGAAAACTTGTGAGCTAAACTCTTATTCATGCCTCCAATCCACTAAACCATCTATTAACGGTGGAGAGAAAGGAGACTCTCCATCTCAGAGCCTGATAGTTGTGGCTTCAGCAGATCTATCTATTGATCATACATGCTATCGCCTACAAAGAACCTTACTTCAGATTTTGCTTCTTGGGACCACCTGAGTTCATGATTATAGTCTTTCCCTCTTCTCCTATCTGTGTATTAGTGGCTAGTCAACCTGTCTACTCCTTACTGAAAAATGTGCATTAATTTGGCTTCACATAGAACTGATTCTTCCAGATACCTCCAGTTAGGAAAACAGGATGTAGCTGCAGTTACTTCCATATTTTCCATGAGAAACTAAGTGACTAGTTAACTCAGTAAAGCCAGCTGGGCGGCAGGCTTAGCTATAACATTCTTTTTGTTGTTTTCAAACAGGTAATATCCCTTTGCCAAAGCTGGATGAACAAGAGCCATTCCCACACAGCTGAGTAACTCATTCTGGAAAGGGGGTACTGTGAACACTAATGCTCCTGCTTTTCTCAGTCACCTAAAAAAATGGACGCTTAAGCATTTCTTAATAACAGACTCTCCTGAAGACAGAATTGGGAAAGATCTATCCCAATGAGTTCTAGAGCCCAAAGATCTCTAACAGTGAGTTCCTGATACTAACTGAAATGAAAGGAAACAAAAGTCAGCTTCCAAGGTATTCACTTAACAGGCCTGTTCCGTAAGGAAGACATTATTTATCTGCCTTTAACCCCAAAGGACTGAACCAACTGCATGAAAGTGAACTTTTCTCTCTATGTAACTGGTAGACGGAGCATCTTGATCACTATGTGACAACCTTGGCTGTCCTTTTTAGTTGCCATTTGCATTGATTTGAGCAGGCCTATCTTGACCAAACATACCTGAATTTGTTCCTGGGCACCCACTTTGTTCCTAGAAAAGGGCTAACTTCCTACTAAGGTCTGAAGAGTGTTCAAAGTAGACTAAAGCTTGGGAACTCCTAACCTAGAACTATCTGCCATCCCACAAAGTGATTATATGCAAAAGGGATACTAGTCATACCTAGTGTTTCTCTTTCTGAAAAGAGAACCTGTCTTAAAATTAGCCCTGGGACAAAGCAAAACAATGATTAAATTGAGATGACCAAGACTGTGGGTTTTTTTTGTTTTTAAAACACAGATACCAAGGATAAATGAAACCTATTTAGGGATAAAAGTGATAGAATCAGACTTTTTCCTCTAACCAAACTGCCAAAGTTGGTTTTGGCTAAGAAATTCCCAATGATAACTGCACTGCTGCTCATTTTTTAATTTTTCTGAGACAGGGTCTTGCTCTGTTACCCAGGCTGGAATGCAGTGGTGTGATCATAGATCACTGCAGCCTGCAACTCCTGGGCTCAAGTGATTTTCCCACTTCAGCCTCCTAAGTAGCTGGGACTACAGATGTGTATCACCATGTCCAGTTAATTCTTTTAAATAGATAAGGGGTCTTGCTATGTTGCCTATCGTCTTGAACTCCTGGCCTCAAGGGATCCTCCAGCATGCCTTGGCCTTCCAAAGTGCTGGGATCACAGGCATTAGCCACCATGTGTTTATTTTTTCCCATTCCCTTCCTTTTTCTGCAATGCTTCTTTCTTCTTTAAGGCAGCTTAATTTACAAGCTTGGCCTTGAATTAAAGAGAACCTGCTCTTGGAGTTGAAGTTCTCAAACCAACATCAGAGCAACTATCTATCCCATATAAATAAGTTATCTCCTTACTGAGTACAAGTTATGACTACAACTCAATGATTTAAAAAAAATTTTTTTTATAATAATAGAGATGGGGTTCACCATCTTGGTCAGGCTGGTCTCGAACTCCTGACCTCGTGATCCACCCACCTCGGCCTCCCAAAGTGCTGGGATTACAAGCGTGAGCCACCGCGCCCGGTCAACTCAATGATTTTTAAAATTAGTGTGCCTATTTGTTGAAATCTGTGAACTTAATCAAGGACAACCACACATGTCAATACTAACGTTTAAAATATATTTCTAAACAGAATGGGCCAACTCAGTAACAGTAACTGCTGATCTCCATGGCAGAGTAACCCACAAAGACAGAACTGATTTTTTTCCCATAATTGGGTGAAAAATATACAACTTGCTTCTGAACCAAAACCACAATTTCTGCAGTTTAACATGTTTCACTGCTAATATGGCCCTGGTAGAAATTATGTAGGTTTTTTCTTTTAAAAAAAAATTAAAAAATTTCCTAAGACACTAAATGATCAATCTGGAATGTAGATTCTGAGCACAAAGCAGCTCAGTTAACCTAAAAAATAAAGAAAACATTCCCATCACCTATCTCAGTAGGGCCTGAAGGAGAGAAGTAGTGTGGGGAACCCCTGCTTTGGTATGGAGAGTCACGGCCCCTTGACCCAGACCGAGACCGTGAGTAGCCATAGCTGGTGCTTCTCTCAGGATAAACTCGGATGTAGGAAGTTTCACCCTGAAATGCGAACAAAAACAGGGTAAAGGAAAAAAAATCAAAGCCAAAAGAATAAGCAAACCAACATCTAACAATAATAGTTAAGTGCTGAGCACTTACTGTATAATCTGTGCCTGGCATGAGGCTATCTCATCAAACTCTCATAACATTATGAGGTGGGTACTCTTACTATCCCATTTCAAGAATGAAGAAAATTAAGACTTACATCATTTGCCCAAGGTAACACAAATAATAAATGCCCACCTGACATGTTAATACTCAATTAGCTATTATAAACAATATATCTGAATTACTGCCATTGACCCCCACCCCCCTCCCAAGCTAAGAACTGGAAAGGATCTCAGGTCATATAGTTTAATTCTCTGCCACTTCATATATGCATCTTTGGATGGGCATCTATGGAAGGAGCTACCTGTATTTAAATACCTTCCAGGTGTTAGGATCTCAGATAGATGCTCTAGATGTTATCCTCTTGTTCTAGCTTCCTGGCAAGTCTTATGATGGTGCTTTTATGTGACCATTTTGCCCGTGAAGGAATTGAGGTTCCAAGAGTAGTTCAGTTCAGGTAAGGAATTAATAAGTAGCAGAAGAGTCATGTCCAGGCTGGCTTGTCTCCAAGCCCTCTGCCTTCAGCCACCATTCTCAGAAGATCCAAAGATCCCAAGGGGAAAGAAGCTAGATGCCTTTTCACCTTAGGTGAAAGTGAGTAATTGGAATTACCCTTTCTGAGGACCTGCTTTGCAGTATAACTGAGGATCAGGGGCTGTTCTGTTCCTGCTCCAAATTCAAGTCCTAGAGGACAGTCTGAGCGAAAGCATCATTAAACCATCCAAGGACCAACCTCTAAGCCAAAAACTATGGAATTATATGAATCCTCAGAAAAAGAAATGAGCCCAGAGGTCAGTGTCCCCAGACATCCATAAATCCCATGGCAAGGCAGGACAGGATAAGAACAAAAAAACACAATGTCCAATTGGTAGTCTGGTATCGGGTCTCAATGGTACCAAAGGGATAGTTCACCACTTGAATCAAACTGAGATCCAAAACAGCAGCTGCTTTCCTATAAGGAAGGACATCAGGAACCACTGAGTCTCAAGGGTGAGGTAATCAACAAGAAAATGTCATGGTTGAGCCTGGCATAGTGGTGTATGCCTGCAGTCCCAAGTACTGGAGAGGCTGAGGTGGGAGGACTGCTTGGGCCCAGGAGTTCCAGGTCACCCTGGGCAATCAATATAATGAGACTCTGTCTCTAAAATAAAAAACTAGAGAAATAAAAAATTACAAAATTAAAAAAGAAAATGTCATGACAGCTCAGGTTTCAGAGAGGTCCTGTACTACTCTGGGAAAAGAAAAGTGAAGTGACAGCTCAGCCCTGACAACGGGACCTAGAAGGGCTGAGATGAGGAGGCTGGTCTGTAGAGGCCAGCCTAGACCCACAGGAGGGGCAGTTGGGTTCACAGAGGGATACTGCTATTTAAGCTGGTTGGGAATGGGGTGATATCACAAAATGACTCTCCACATTAAGACGATTGCACTAGTATTCTCTCCAGGTTACAAATACCATGACCAAACTGTCATGTGATAACAACAGACAGAATAAAGCATATTTTAAAAAACATAACATGAATGAACACTTCTCTCAGCTATGACCCTGAAGGACTTATAGCAAATTAAAAGATCTTTCATGGTACTGTCAGGTCACCAACTGGCATGGCCTACTGCTACCTCTGCTAGGTCAGGTGAGTGGGGTGATTTGAGTACGAGCTCAACAGAAGGAAAGGACTTACCTCATGAGAGCGGAATTTGGTATCATCCAGTTTACGCAGGGCATATTCCATGTCTTCTTTTCTGAGATACTCAACCATCCCCACTCCATCCTTCTGCACATCGGCATAACAGACATCCCAGCTTCTCGCATGTGATCCTTCAGGTCCTGCCAGCTGCCTGATGGAGGAAGTCCTAGGCATGGAGAACATAAGAAAGCCCACATCCTTCAGCTATGTTAACTGCCCTGTTAAGAGCCAGCACTGCCTACGGTCCCTTCTGCATGATCACTAGGATCTCCAAATCATAAACCTTGATACGTGACATGAAATCGGAAAAGAGCACTGAAGTAAGTGTGGTAAATAAACCACCCTGAGAAGCTGGTTTTAAGTCCATCTTCCAGAGACCAGGCCTTTTCAACATAGCAAGAAGTCTATCCCATGACAGGTTTAGTATCTCTGAGAAGTCATAGCCTCTTTCTTTCCCATGACAGGTTTAGTATCTCTGAGAAGTCATAGCCTCTTTCTTTGTTCTTTAGAATCAATGCCAAACTCCTAATACTTTGAGGTCCAATTTTTTTCCATTATGAAATTTAACAGTAGCAATTATTTATTGCCTGACAAGAGTTTCACAGGACATGAGAATTTTGAAACCAGACAATGAAATAACCAGAGAGTAACTGAAGGTAACAACACAACAACAAAACTAAAGTTTTCTTATAGGTGTGAGTGACAAACTATACAAAGTACCTCTTAAGAGATCACCAACATTCTTCAATACAGTAGGGGGAAAGGTAAGACTCAGATGCTAAAAACTAGTCGGGAGTCATACAACCCTACCTGAAGTCATGAAAGGGAAATGTGCTCCTGCTCTCAAAGGCTGTGTTTACCGCTCACAGCTCAGGACTGCAGCCATTTCCTAATAGTTTTCTAAGCAGGATTTCAGAGCAGCATGGAGAGAAAAAAAGATAATGTATGACATCCTGAAGGAGGGAATAGAGTTCTGGGGTTAAAAAGTTACAAAGGGACACAAGATAGGCAGATACTGAGAGGATCACTCTTAAGCACATGGGAGTATGCTGTAATTGTGTGACATTCACATCTTAAAAGGTGCTAGGCTCCTTGATACATTTCACTTCACCAAGGCCCTAAAACTCCCATGCAATATGCAGAAGGCCCAGTTTCTTTTCAGTGTGTTAAAATGTTGAAGATACATAAACCTCCCAGTTTAGCATTTCATCACTTACAAACACTAGACAGAAAACAGTCTATACTTTCCAATAAAATCTCTAACACTCCAAGTTACAGGGTTTTAAAAAATATTTAATTCTAAAACACCACAAAATTTGATCTTCTTCAGGATCCGAGGCTGGGTAAGTTGTTCAAATCTGGCTCCTGGAATGCCTTTCTACCAAGTTGATGCCAAGTACATCCAAAAGAAGAGTCTTATAATTGTAGTTCAAGGGGTTTTGCCATCATCTTCCCTTCTCACCACTAGAAAAACGCCTTTACAAGAAGTATGTTTTATATTCTTCCAAGGCTGCACTCCCAGCGTAATTTCATTTGCAGGATACTTGCCTCGTTGGCAATCCAGGCCAGGGCTTCAGACTGGCACTGCACACAGGCTACTGAAAAGAAAGCCCACATGTCCCATGCACTGAAGAATAACAGCTATAATTTCTTGGAAGCCAGACTCTGTGTTAAGTATTTTACATGTATCATTCATTCTGTTTGAAAGGAACATACCTGAAACAAGAACTCGGAAATCAGATCTTCTTGTAGGAGGCCCATTCCTCCCACCACGGGGCCACCCACCCCGACCTCCATAAGTCCTGGGGAACTCCACACGAAGCCGACACTGGCCATAATCATAACCATTCCTTCCATAAATTGCATCCTCTGCATCTCTGTGAAAAAAAAAAAGTTTGGAGTTAGTGCTGTTCGGGAGGCCGAGTGACTTCCCCAGTGAGAAGCACAAGTATTAAGCATAAAAGGGAAACTGAGAGTGAAGGAAGAAAAATACAAATTAGGATCTTGATGCATTTCTGCTTTGGTTTGGAGATGTTTCATGATACTGGAATTAACCTTTATAGCTGTCACCCAGTTTATAGGTTTGAAATTATAATGAATCGTCAAATAGATTACTTATATAAGGGAGCTAATTCAGAGAAAAAGAATCAACTGCTGACAGATTGATTTTGCCAATAAACCACCAGTGTTTTTCTAAACTTGCTGAGCATTTTCTCAAAAAGCATACCATACACTAACCCCTTAATATTGTTCTAAAAGGCCTAGTGCCATAAAGTCTATGGAAAGAAAAAAGTAGCCAGTTAGCCAGGCATGGCGGTGCACACCTGTAGTCCCAGCTAGTCAGGAGGCTGAAATGGAAGTGCAGAGCCAAGATCCACACTACTGTACTCCAGCCTGGGTGACAGAGACCCTGTCTTTTTTATTTATTTATTTTATTTAGACCCTGTCTCAAAAAAAAAAAAAAAAAAAAAAAAAGTAGCCAGTTGGATAGGAGAGTATTTGAGAGAAATAAATAAAGTGCTGGGCGCGGTTGTTTGAACCCAGTTCAAGGCCAGCCCTGGGTAATATAGTGAGACCCTGTCTCGTAAAAAAAAAAAAATAATATGCCGGGCACAGTGGCTCACACCTCTAATCCCAGCACTTTGGAGGCTGAGGCAGGCAGATCACCTCAGGTTCAGGAGTTTGAGACCAGCCTGACCAACATGGAGAAACCCCATCTGTACTAAAAATGTAAAATTAGCCAGATGTGTGTGGTGGTGCATGCCTGTAATCCCCGCTACTCAGGAGGCTGAGGCAGGAGAATCGATTGAACCCGGGAGGCCGAGACTGCGCCACCGCATACCAGCCTGGCAACAGAGCAGACTCCATCTCAAAAAAAAAAAATAATAAGGGTTGAAAAGGCAAATGCAAATGAGTGTTTTGTGATGAATGTGGAAGGAACTTTTTTTTTTTTGAAATGGTCTTGCTCTGTTACCAAGACAGTGCAGTGGGCTAGAGCATAACTCACTGCAGCTTCTAACTCTTCGGCTCAAGCAATCCTCCCACCTCAGCCTCCTGAATAGGGCCAGCTAATCTTTGGATTTTTTTTGTAGAGACAGGTCTCCCTGTGTTGCCCAGCCTGGTCTTGAACTCCTGGGCTCAGGCGATCCTCCCACCTCAGCCTCCCAAAGTGCTAGAATTACAGGCATAAGACATTGTGTCTGCCTTGGAACTCTCCTAAGTGTACTTTTTCAGCATGCTTTGGAGAACTATTTTGTCCAAAAAACACTCTCTGGATACAGTTTGGCCAAAAGAGATAAATATTCAATAAAATTACTTTAAGTCTTTCCTAGGACTCCAGGAGAGTCAGGAATGCCACATTGATTCTCCAGTACTGGGTGGTAAAGTGTGACCTTGGAGCATGGGTGGACAAGAGGAGCTGAATGTGCCAATGAAGGCATTGTTCAGCGTCACAGGCACATAATCATTTATAAGGTTTTAGAATTAAAAGCAACAAGGACCACATCCAGTGCAACCTTGACTATGTAAAATGCAGATTAGGAGAGGCAGCTAGGATGTCAGAGCAGACTTTGAATAAAATTGGCCTGCATTCAGGCCCAGCACCGTCGCTCAGGTCTGTAATCCAGCACTTTGGGAGGCTGAGGCAGGCGAATCACTTAAGTGAGGTGTTTGAGACCAGCCTGGGCAACATGGTGAAACCCCCTTTCTCTAGTAAAAGTACAAAAATTAGCTGGGCATGGCGGTGGGCACCTGTAATCCCAGCGACTCGGCAGGACTGAGGAATGAAAAACGCTCAAACCCGGGAGGCAGAGGTTGCAGTGAGCCGAGATTGTACCACTTGCACTCCAGCCTGGGCAACAAGAGCCAAACACCGTCTCAAAAAAAAAATAAAATGAAATAACAAGTAACAAATCCCCTGATCCCTTACTAGCCGTGTGTGTGTGTGTGTGTGTGTGTGGTGTGTGTGTGTGTTTTGAAATGGAGACTGACTCTGTCGTCAGGCTAGAATGCAACCTCCACCTCCCAAGTTTAAGCAATTCTCCTGCCTCAACCTCCTGAGCAACTGGGACTAAGGCGTGCGCCACCACGCCCAGCTAATTTTTGTATTTTTAGTAGAGATGGGGTTCACCATGTTGGCCAGGACAGTCTCTTCTCCTGACCTCATGATCCGCCTGCCTCGGCCTCCCAAAGCGCTGGGATTAGTTGCGAGCCACCATGCCCGCCACTAGCTTTCTTTTTTTTAATCAACTAAGTTTAAATCCTCAAGATCCTGATCTATAAAATGTGGTTAACAGTAGCTACACCTCACACTTTGATTTTTAAAAAAACTAAATTCAGGCTGGGTGAGTCCCTCATGCCCGTAATCCTAACACTTTGATCCGCTGAGACAGGCAAATAACCTGAGCTCAGGAGTTCGAGACCAGCCTGGGCAACATGGTGAAACTTCCTATTTTATTAATCGAAAAAAATAAGGAAAAAAAGAAGCTACATACACACCATGGCACTCGACGCATAGCAACTGTTGAAAAACCACAATAGCACGGTTACCAAATAAGCAAGGCATAGTCTTCTCCGGCTAGGTGTAAAAATGCCCAGTTTCGGTTTTGAGGCAAATGACAAGATATTAGGGATGAGCTGTCAGAGTCGACTCTTCAGCCATCAAAGCCTCGCGGTGCTTCCTGCCTGCCTCTCCTCAGATGCTCTCCTTGCTATCAATACGTCCACCCCAGGTAGGCTGGACACCCTACGAACATTCCCTGTGTTCCCCGGGAACCGACGATGCTAGGAAAACGGGGAGCGGGCTCTTATTTGGCCGGAGCGGAGTGACCAGTTTAGCGCGGCGGCTTCTAACCACCAGCAACCAGTTTTGAAAGTTCCTGGGCTTTTTCCGGCCAGACGGCTGACACTTTGCAAAATCACAAACACTCCTTCGAGCCGGGTTAGGAATCCAGAGTTTCCAAATCCCTGGACTCTTCAGCATCTCGCCCAGCCTCCCTCATTAAAAGAGGGAAGTGAAATCAGAGCCCCACTCTGGCTGTTTTAGAAGTTTTCCCAAATCCCTGATCCCCTTACAAAGCCCGGGACCTGGGCCTCGCGGGGCGGGGCGCGGCAGACGGCGAGCGGTTTCCACCAGAAACCCCTCCACGACCTCGGCGGCACCCGCGACCCTGCAGGCGGCGAGCTACGGCAGGGGAGGGGCAGGCGGGAAGGGCGAACGGCGACTCCCGCGCGGCCCCAAGGCCGCCTCCCCTACGGTGCCGCCCCAGGCGGGAGGTGGACAGGGCTTCATTCGGAACCCCCGAGACCGGTTCAGGAGGGCTGGGGCCTTGCCTCAGCTGTTGGGTTTCTAAGCAAAATACTGGAATAATAAAAATAAAGGAAGTGACGACGGCGCGAAGGACGGCCCCGGTCTGCGAGAGGCGGCCTCATCCTCCACCCGTGAGGGGGCGCCGTGAGGGGGTCTGCGCGGACGCGGGGGGAGGGGATGGCCGGGGGGAGGGAGAGTAGGGAAGGCGGGGGCCTCAGGCACCGAAGGCGGGCGGGCGCGCGGGGAACTCACCGGGGGTCCTCGAAGCGCACGAAGGCGAAGGGCACAAGGCCGTGCCGGTTCTTGAGCTCGATCTCGCGGATGCGGCCGTACTTGTAGAACAGGTCCTCCAGGTCCTTCTCGCGCACGTCGGTCGGAAGGTCCCCAACGTAGATGCGCCCGTCGCCCTCGCCGCCGCGCTCGTCCGCCCAGCCCGACATCCGCACCGCCCGACGCCGCGGGCCCGCCGCAGCCCACGTCGCCGCCGCCGCCGCCTCAGCACGGGTCCCCCCGCAGCGTCCCCGCGGGCTCCGAGGCGCTCAGTCGCACTGCATTGTGGGAACGCGGAGCGGAAGCGAAAGGGTCGGAGGAGGCAAAAGGAATCCTCTTAAAGGGGAGGCGGATGCGACCATTGCCCGTGTGCGCAGGCCAGCGCCCCCTGGAGGTGCGAAGGGCCTTCAGGCGCTGACAGGGAGATCGTGGAGCCAGGCCCTGTGGATGCCAGCCCCGAGCGCGCTTCACGGTCGGCTGAGAAGCTGGACAGGTGCCTTGGGTTCCCGCGCCTCAGTTTCTCTGTGGCGCCGCCTACCTCACAGACTTGTGAGCACTCACTGAGGTGACGCGGGTAGCGCCCATGGCGTGCGGGTCTCTGGAGAGCTGGAGTCTGGTGGAGACCGCAGGCTGATCCCGCAGTGCCACATGGAGCCCCCAGCGGCTGGACTGTCGAGGCCCCCAGGCTCAGGTCAGTAGCTCCCTGGGCCACCATGTCTCCATTTTACAGTTGCTGTGTCAGTATGAGATGGACTCCATAGCCTGGCCTTGAGTTTGTCCGAATCGGGGGGAGTAAGACTCATAATGACGATCACAGCGATCACTATAGAGTGCATCCAACTTCGCTTTTCATCCTCTCCCGGGAGGAGACTGAGGTCACAGAGAGGTCAGGACTGGAATCCAGAGCCATGCTCTTACCGTAAGTACCTAGTCCTTCGGAGCTCAGGTGGACACCCCCTTGGCACTTACTTTTCCGCATTCAGATCCCAGAGCGCTGAGCATTGAGCCCAGGGACCTTACAGTGAGGCTTTGCACCAGAAGACTTTTTTTTTTTTTCTTTTTTTTTTTTGGATACAAGGTCTTACGCTGTTGCTCAGGCTGGAGTGCAGTGGCGCAAACACGCCTCACTACAGCCTTGATCTCGCTGGACTCAGGTGATTCTCCCACCTCGGAGCACAGTGAGGGGTCTATGCTGCGCCCGGCTAGTTTATTTTCTATTTTTTTAAAAGAGAGCCTGCTCGAAAACTCCTGGGCTCAAGTGATCCTCCAGCCTTGGCCTCCCAAAGTGTTGGATTACAGGCGTGAGCCCTGTACCCGGCTGGAAGACTCCTAAAGATTTTTCAGGCCGAGTGCGGTAGTTCATGCCTGTAATCCCAGCACTTTGGGAGGCCAAGGCGGGCAGATCACTTGAGGTCAGGAGTTCGAGACCAGCCTGGCCACCATGGTGAAACCCCGTCTCTACTAAAAATACAAAAATTAGCCAGATGTGGTAGTATGTTCCTATAATCCCAGCTACGTGGGAGGCTGAGACAGGAGAACTGCTTGAACCGGGGAGACACAGGTTTCAGTGAGCTGAAATCAAGCTACTGTACTTCAGCCTGGGTGACAGAATAACAGAGCTAGACTGTCTCAAAAATAAATATTTTTCTTGTTAAAAATGAAACCTGGCCAGGTGTGGTGGCTCCAACCTGTAATCCCAGCACTTTGGGAGGCTGAGGTGGCCGGATCACTTGAGGCCAGGAGTTTGAGACCAGTCTGGCCAACATGGTAAGACCCCCATCTCTACTAAAAAAAAAAAATTTTATATATATATATATATAAATTAGCCTCGCATGGTGGCACACCTGTACTCCCAGCTGCTTGGGAGGCTGAGGCACGAGAATCGCTTGAAGCTGGGAGGAAGAAGTTGCAGTGAGCCATGCACGATTGTTAACACTGCACTCCAGCCCGGGGGACAGAGGGAGACTCTGTTTCCAAAACAAAACAAAAAGGGACTAAAACCAAACATTTTAATCAGAAGGTAGTTATCATTATACCATTGAGAGTTTTAAAATTAAACAAACCAAAAATTACACACCCACATATACTACTGAATGAATATTATGTCCTTTTTGGAATTCAAGTTGATAGTATACATCAGGCTTTCATGACACACCTATACCCTTTGATCTTGTAATTCTGCTTGTAGGATTTTTATCATACCGAAATAAGCAAGAGATTCTCACAAATTATATGTATATATTTGTCATTGCATTCTGTGCAATTAAAAAAATTAAACTTGATAAGGGAGTGGCTCAACACATTAACAACATTGAATGTTACACAATTATTAAGTCTTTTTTTTTAATATGACATTCAGGATGTTAAAGTCACACTTAAGTGAATTGAAAGTGGTGTTTAATGTATACACATAGATAGTATATTTCCTGCTTGTAACAAAGAAAAAATAGAAGAGAAAAGCTTTCCAAATGTTGTGGAGATATCCCGATGGCAGTGATTTCTATATTTTTACTTATGCTTTTCTGTATTTCTCAAATTGTAATTAGCATGTACTACTTTTATAACTGGAATAAAACACAATAAATGATTCCTAAAATAAAACAGTTAGAACTGTCTGTTGCATTCTGGATTGTGTAAAGCTTCTAGCTGTTCTCTCCTGGGCCTCAGAAGGCAAGCAGGAAAGAGCCCTGGCCAAAGATGTGATCTGGAATCTAAGTATGCAGCCTTATAGGAGCTGACATATCCAAAAGTCCAGATGCCACCTCATTTTGGGTACTGTGCTTAGGTTTATTAATACCATTCTCTGAATCCTACCACTCCCATGTGATTATTGCCTGGAAGACAAAAAGAAAAAAAAACCAGTGCTGTTGGAGACAATTGGGCAATCTCCTAGGGAGAGAGAAATAGTCAGCTAAGTGACTCACGACTGTAGGTGGAGGACTGCTTGCAAATAATAGTAATTCAGCTTTAATTGTACAAAGTCCTGCAGCATGCAATCTCCAAAGGAGTTCAGTTACCCAACCTAGAAAATGTTGAGCCCAGATATGGGGTTTTATGGTAAGTACAGGCTTCTTGGATTAAACAGAGCACAGCTAAATCATTAGGAGGCATTTATGATCATCCATGAAAACCCCTTTATTCCTGTACTAACTTTGCAGGTTAGAACACAAATTAGGCCACAATTATGACTTCCTGCTCAAAGGATTCATGGGTTCCATTCTCTGCTAAGGCCACTGATTCTAGGCAGGGATACCCTTTTCAATTTGCTGCTTATCTAGATATTCAACATCATTTGTGATTTAGGTCCTATTTGAGGCCCAGGACATGGAATAATGCAGCTCCATCCTTGAGCTGTATATATAAGTTGGTATTCAGTCATGTAGAGTACAGCTGTGATAAGGATAAGCTGCTTGAGACTACAATGGAGGGCCACCTATCACAGTCTTAGAGGTTCTAAGGAAGGCTTCCAGGAGATATTTAGGTAGAGTCTTGAAGAACCAATAGGAGTTAACCAGGGTAAAGAGGGAAGGGCATTTCAGACAAAAAGGAACGCATGACTGCTAGGTACAGTGGCAGTAATCTCAACACTTTGGGAGGCTGAGATAGGAGGATGGCTTGAGTCCAGGAGTTGGAGACCAATCTAGGCAACATAACGATACCTCTATCTCTACAAAAAACATTTTAAAATAACCAGGCGCAGTGCCTCACGCCTGTAATCCCAGCACTTTGGAAGGCCAAAGTGGGTGGATCACTTGAGGTCAGGAGTTTGAGACCAGCCTGGTCAACACAGCAAAACCCATCTCTACTAAAATCACAAAAATTAGCCAGGCGTGGTGGCACACACCTGTAATCCTGCTACTCAGGAGGCTGAGGCAGGAGAATTGCTTGAATCCAGGAGGGAAAAGTTGCAGTGAGCTGAGACTGCACCACTGAACTCCAGCCTGGGTAACAGCGACACTCTGTCTCAAAAAAAATTTAAAAATTATCTAGGCATGGTAGAGTACCTGTGGTCTCAGCTACTTGATCTCAAACTCCTGAGCTCAAGTGATCCACCCATCTCAGCCTCCCAAAGTGCTGGGATTACAGGCATGAGCCACTGCATCCGATGGTGCCAGGTATTAAGAGGCTGAGGTGGGAGGATTGCTTGAGCCTGGGAGGTTGAAGCTGTAGTTAGCCATGATTGCACCACTGCACTCCAGCCTGGACAACAGAGCGAGACTCTGTCTCAAAACATAAAAAAGACCACCATGGGCCAGGTGCAGTGGCTCATGCCTGTAATCCTAGCACTTTGGGAGGCCGAGGCAGGTAGATCACAAGGTCAGGAGATCAAGACCATCCTGGCCAACATGGTAAAACCCCGTCTCTACTAAAAATACAAAAAAATTCGCTGGGCATGGTGGCGCACACCTGTAGTCAGCTACTCCGGAGGCTGAGGCAGGAGAATTGCTTGAACATAGGAGGCGGAGATTGCAGTGAGCCGAGATGGCACCACTGCACTACAGCCTGGGTGACAGTGTGATATTCCGTTGGGGGGGAAAATAAAACCACCATGAGGGATCACCCAAATAGGAGAGAGAGTGGCAGACCAGGGGAAGTCCCTACCAGTGTGACTGGGGCAGGAGTTCACATAGGGAAGAAAGAAGGAGCTGAGGCTGGGGCGAGTAAGGCCTAGTGGAGCATGTTATGGAATTTGGACTCTACTGAGGGTTTTAGGAGTTATGATTGGATACCCTCTCAGTTGGAACTAGCAGCAGAAGAAATTGGAGAAATGGTAGGAGAGAAGAAAGAGCTAATTGACTAGAGGGCAGCTGCAGGATAGGGGAAGGACTGGAGTAAGGGAGAGATGTGGCAACAGATGCTATTATTGGGGTAATTTGGGGAAAGTGGAGCCTTAACTAAAGAGACAGTGTAAGAAGTATCACTGTGTAATTGCAGTATAAGCGTCCTTCTGTGACTTCACAGATCCTTTTATTAAAAATTTACATTATCCATGAATGATTTTGGAGTTGAATTCTTGTTTCGAGGGAATGTGCCAGTGTGCTCAGATTAGTCTAAAAATGAGTGCAGGGGGCTGGGCGCAGTGGCTCACGCCTATAATCCCAGCACTTTGGGAGGCTGAGGCGGGTCAAGAGATTGAGACCATCCTGGTCAACATGGTGAAACCCCGTCTCTACTAAAAATACAAAAATTAGCTGGGCATGGTGGCGCATGCCTGTAATCCCAGCTACTCAGGAGGCTGAGGCAGGGAACTGCCTGAACCCAGGAGGCTGAGGTTGCGGTGAGTTGAGATCGCACCATTGCACTCCAGCCTGGGTAACAAGAGCAAAACTCTGTCTCAAAAAAAAAAAAAAAAAAAAAAAAAAGGAGTGCAGGGTAAGGGCTAGCCCCACATGGCCCATTGACTAGCAGGCTGCAGGGGAAAGGAATGGGGTAGTGGAAGGCACAGGAGTGAGTGCAGGAAGACCGCTGAGAGATCTCCAGTCCTCCAAGCAAGAGGTGCCCACTGCCTGATGTAGAGTGATGAAGATGCAGAGATACTGAGGAGATAAGAGATCCCAAGGAGATGAAATCACAGGACTTGGAGGTGGACTGGATGTGGGAGCTCAGGAAGGAGGAAGAGTCCACGTTGTTCCCAGGTTCCTGCCCTGAGGAAGTGGTTGGACAATAGTGTCAGTCTGAGATATAAAGCAGAAGAACTGACCTGCAGGGGATGGACAATGATGAGTTCAACTGCCTGTCGACATAAGAAGGAAGGACAAGGGCCGGGCGCGGTGTCTCACGCCTATAATCCCAGCACTTTGGGAGGCCGAGGCGGGTGGATCACGAGGTCAAGAGATCGAGACCATCCTGGTCAACAAGGTGAAACCCCGTCTCTACTAAAAAGTACAAAAATTAGCTGGGCATGGTGGCGTGTGCCTATAACCCCAGCTACTCAGGAGGCTGAGGCAGGAGAATTGCTTGAACTCAGGAGGCGGAGGTTGCAGTGAGCCGAGATGGCACCATTGTACTCCATCCAGCCTGGATAACAAGAGCAAAATTCTATCTCAAAAAAAAAAACAAAAAAAGAAGGAAGGACAAGATGTACGATGGCCCTAGCTCTATGTGCCTTCTCCACTGAAAACAGAACTCTAGGTGTATGACCTGATGAGGTAAATGGGCACTGCAGTCCTCAGCTCCTTGGGACAGGACTGCCTTTACTACAAGGAGAAGCTTTCACTTAAAATACATAGGAGCTGAATAATATTCATACTTCCTTATATGATTATAAGAAAGGCACAACCAGCCT